GAAAAAAAAAAAAAAAAAAAAAAAGCAGATTGTAAGACAGCATGACTAGCACGATCTCATTTGGGCAAAAACATACACATATATGTGTGTATATATGTATACACATGGCATATTATCTGCAAGAACACACAAAGCTATAAAAGTGGCAATCTCTGGACTGTGGGAATACAGTGATTTATCCTTTCTTTTTTCACCTATTTATGTTTTCTAATTTTTTACAATGCACACATATTTCTATTAGTAAAAGGTTACTTTAAATTAAATAAACAGAACCCTTACTCTTGCTTGTGCAATTGGATTGCAGGTGTCAGAAGAAAAAAACATTGAAACCAAAGATTAAATTATTTTTCTGAGTAACACATAAAAGTAATGGCTGTTATTCTATGATTGACAACTTCTTTCATTTTTGATATTTTACTGCAATAAACTATACATAACAGACCTTACCATCTTAACTATTTTAAGTGTATAGTTGATTGGCATTAAGTTGTGCAACCATAACCATCATCTATATCCAGAACTTTTTCATCTTCCCAAACTAAAAGTCTGGACTTACTAAATAACGACTTCATATTCCCTCTTCTCTCTAGACCCTGGCAACCACCTTTCTACTTTCTGATTCTATGAGTTGGATTACTCTAAGCACCACATATAGGTAGAATCATGCAATATTTGTTCTCTGGCATCTGAGTTGCTTCACTTAGTACAATGGCTTCAAGTTTCATCTATGTTGTAGTATGTGTCAGAATTTCCTTTCTTTTTAAGGCCAAATAGCAAACTTAATTGTTTTTTAAATAAAACTGGTGACAGGACAAACTCCCTGCTCACTGTTAATACCTCTTTAGTACAAGTGTTTCTATAAAACTGGGTACTCTATTCAAACAGACTCTGGCTACCCAATTCTTACTATTCTTCTGTCTTGGGTGACCTGCTCCAATCTTTCTTTCTTAGGGATGTTGCTTTTCCAGTGATAAAACTACAAAGAACACCTGGAAGAAAGTATTACTCAGTTTTCTGGCTGGTACATTCTGTGGACAAATCAGATACTTTATAATAGAAATAAAGGTGGTACATAACTGTTTAGCTTTGTATTTTGATGCATCCCTGGGTTCACTGCTGGGATTGCTCCAGTCATCGGCTTCAGGTGTGGTCTTGTAATGGCGCCATGCAGACTTATTGAAAACTGGCAGCCTCTCAAATGATTCGCTAGAAAGAGCCTATTGGAAAAAAATATATATAAATACACCAAAGGCCCATGGTGCCATTTTTCTCACATAAAATACTAACCCAAATTTTACTACTAAAAACATCAGAAACCATAATACATACTTCTGAAATTATATTAAAATTATATTTTAGCAATTTACTTAGACTAGCTAGGAAAAATATGAAGCTTTTTTAAAGGAATGAAAATATTCACCCATTCAAAATCAGTACTGAAATACATATGATTATAAGAAAGTGCATTTTAATTCAGTTAACACTGCTGTGAGACACTCAATCATTTTGACTATATGTTCTCAGACCAAGCACTATTGTTCATATGGTAGTTTCTGCACCAAAGGGCAGAGGAAGAAATAAAGTCTCATATATGCCAGATTTATAGACATATGCCATCAAGTGATATCAAATATCCATCATTTAGGGGCTAGCAATATAGCTCAGTGATAGAGCATTTAACATGCGTGAGGCTCTGGGTTTAATTCCCAGCACCCAAACAACAAAATCACATCATTTAGATGTACTGGAATCTAAGACAAATACTCCAAATAACTGGTTAGATTATAGTGTCACATTCGGTAGTATACTATGCCATGGTTAAGAAGAATGAGCCAAAAGTTATGCAAGATATATTGGAAAACAAAAACAAGACCAAGACGCTGACATTTCATTTCTATGGGAAAAGATTATATTTCTTTCCCATATGTTTGTATGTGCAGAAACAATTCTAGGAGGACCTACAAGAAACTAGGACCCATGGTTACTTGTGGACTAGGGACAGTGGTAACAGACTGAGTTTTCTCCTTTTGCTTTTAAAGTTGTATTATATGCCCATATTACCTACTCAAAAAACACTCCAAATATTCTAGGTTCAAAAATAAAATTCTAACATGAGCAATATAGGACAAAAACTGTATTACTGAGAAATTTGTTATTACATCAACCTTTTATATAACCATATTATCACTAGTGAATTCTTATAACTTGGGAAAGCCTGCAAATTTTTAAAGCAAAATAAAATATTTAAGATTATTGAAGATCTGTCAATTACATCTTTCAATGAACATGCAATTTTGAAAAATCATAATTTAGAATTACGATTTTAAAAATCAGTATTTTAAATTTTATATCCCCATATTCAAATCTTGCTATATCTGAGTATAAAATCAACGTTGAGGCACAACACAGTTTTCATGTGAAACAGAAGTAAATCTGATCTGAATATAAGAGATGACACAGTGCTATTTTTGATTAGAATTTGAATTTATGGCCTTAAAAAGCAAAAATGCTTTTATACTAACAGAAATAAAATGCAGTACCTTCAAATAAATGACAGCATCAGTACCTACTCCTTCCATGGAATATAGTTTTAGATCTCCTTGAAAATATCTAGCATACAGACGAGAAATTGGCAAACCATAACCAAATCCAGCCTACCAAGAAAAGAAAATTAATACAATGAGTCAGGCACAAATGTTTCATATGAAGACCATTCAGACAAGATTAAAATAAATTCTTGATTCAAATTTAAATCAAATGAATTACTAATTTAACCTTTACACTGAGTAATGTGCTTATATATGGCAAAATCTATTATCACCCTGCAAAAAATTTTTCATGTTTCGATAATAACAGAAATATTCCAATTTTTGACTAATTTTTGGTATTTGAAGGTAAGTTTTTAGCATTTAAAAAGAAAATCCTAAGGGAGGTAGAATTTGATCTAATGAAGAAAATAAATAACATCATTTCAGATTTCCATTATCAGATTTCCTTGCTCTTTGGAGTGAAAATGTCCAGCAAGACAGTTCAAATCCACCAGTATCAAGGCTGAAATATTGAAAACATTTCCTGAAGCTATTTTCTGAAATGCTGTTGATATACTGAGTACGTATTAGTACTTTCTTATATTTCTGTGATGAAAACCTGATAATCAATAACAAATATTTAAATAAATGAAAAAAATGGTGGCAGATATTGGTGAGAACTATAAAGAAAAGTGAGACTAAATTTAGTAACATTCATGGCAGTAATGCATGGGTAGGGAAAGATGCTATCCCACCAAGCCTTGCTACCTCTGATTAAATTTATGAAAAAGGTTAGGGAAGGAGGACAGCAGGATAAAGCACAGATCAAGTGATGGTCACATGGGCTTTAGACTTACAGATCTAAATTGAAATGCATTTTTTGTGCAACTGAACAGTTTACTTAACCTCTGTGAGACTGTTCTCTCATTCAACGTGTGATAAAAAGCATACCTCAGAGGTGCTGTAAGGATTAAATGATATAATAAGTACCAAGTCTTGGCACAAAGATTAACACATAGTAAAACTAAATAAAGGAAAGAAGGTATTGTGGCTACTAAGAGCAGCAATTTTACCAAGTAATATGGATTTCTGCCATTTTCTAACATCTCTCTGATATCTTCCTTAATGTTGGGCCTAAATGAAAGGGCAGGGGTGACTAATCATACCCTGTCATTTAAGGGCTTTAGTACTTGCTAAGAATGGCCAACAGTGAAAATGAGATATCTATAGTAGTCACTGAGGTAACCATAGCAAATAAATCAATGTACTCCAGGAAGAGACCAGAGGAATCTGCCTCCTATGTTAAAGCAAGGCCCAGAGCCTGCCCTCAGGCGTAACGGGCCAGTGGACAATGCAGCAGTCTCTGTGGGGAGGCAGGAGATCCCAGAGTTCTGTGTTCTGAGGAACACAGAGGAGGGATCTGTCTCAACCTTGGATTTGGTAGGGTTCAGGAAACATTTCCCAGAGTGTCAAAGGATCAATAAGTGTCAACTGGGCACACAGTCATGAAAAAGAAATATATATCAGGCCACAGAGATGTAAAATGATAAGTCGTGAGGTAAGGAAATGACGTTTTCCAGTAGTCCATATCCATGTGTTCACTTAAAAGCTGAGGACAGCTTATCAACTCGAAGGAACAGCAATGGAAGAAGCATTTCTTCAAAGGAACACCCATCCAGTATACTGGAAAGAACATAGGCACAGCCAATACCAGCTCTACCATTAATTAGCTCATGGAAGGCGCGAACCTCATTTCCTCATCTATATGATAGGCAAGTGGCTTCATATTTTAAGGTGTCTTACTTCACTTCTTTATTGTTATAAAAAAAACCCACAACTATGACCTAATAGCTACATCAGGATATATTTTAAGACCTGGAATAGACAATCCATATTCCTTTTAAACAACTGGGAAAGGTGCTAGATTTGTTTGTAGTATCTTTTTTTCTTTTGAGGTTTATTTAAGTAGGTACCTGAACCTGGCCACTGCAATCCCTTTCCAAAATGATCTCTCAGGAATTTTCCTGAATCCTATATAAATGACTTCCTCTTCACTTTCTGCATGCTGAGTTAACAAACTCTGTCTCAAATAAACGATGCAAAGTGTTTGATTTTATTCATACAAATAAAATATAATCTTACATGCTTATCAGTCAGGTAGGACTTTAAAATGAAACTTAATTTATACCCTGAACCATTCTGCAGACTGATAGATATGTTGCTGTGTTTAATGACAAAGGGTTCAATTGTTGTTTGTCAATTAGAAACACTCAGCAGGGGAAGAAAGTGTGGCCCTACCAGGATCTAAATGCTACCATGGTAACCAGAGGCTTTTCTCGCTGCTTTAATAGGGCTGAAGGTTATTTTCAGAGTGTGACAGAAAGGGCTCTGAAAATGAATCTGCCACCTATATGTTTTATGCTTAGATTATTTAATATAAAAATTAAATGTGTTCATAACTAAACATTTTAATTATATAAACAAATTTGATGGTGGCGATTCAGAGGCTCTGGTGATTTGAGCCTCTATGGTATATAGTGCCACGACACCCAGTACCAAGCTGCAGCTGCACACCCTGCACAGCCCTTTTGCTCACACACTGGTCCACTCTCCCCAAGGGTGGTGCTGCGTGGTAATGGTCTTCCAGTAGCAGCCTTACCACAGTGAAATGCCTTTTTTTTTTCTTCTGTATTGAGGAGTGAAGCACTCAGCTCAGAGTATTTCTTAGTCAAATTAGAGAAGCAATCTAAGGCCAAAGGACTCACAAAGAAAGCAGGCAAGGCAAAAAGGTCCCCCTCCTCCAAACCCTACAGGGAACAGTCTAATCCAACCAGGCTACTGCAACAGCCTGGGAGATGGGCAGCTAGCTCCCTGGCCCTCACGTAGAGTCCCTCCCCTGGTTAATGACCTTTCCTTCAGCAGCAGTTTGTGATGCTTACCAAAGGGGCAGCTCTTGTGGGCTCCAGGCTAGGTCTAGGAGCAGTTGAATACATGTAGTTGAAAAGACGGTCTATTTTACGAAGTGGGACTCCACCACCTAGGTCACTTATCTGTAGTATACAAAATATCAGAAATAAAAAGATACCAATCTAATTTAAAGTAGGAGGCAATGAATTCATTGAATAAAGTACATTCCACAGTACTCCAAACTGGTTAAAGGCTTTGAAACTCCACTGGAATACGGTTCCTATGGGAACAGTACCAAACAAAGAAGGCAGAAGAGCACAGGAGGATCCAACAGGTGTGGGGTTGAGGTCTTGTTCAATGAAGTTTAGCTGAGGTAACTCAAACCTTCAAGGAGCCAGTACAGTATGTGCCACGTAATGTCAGGGACACGTTCTGAGATGTGTGGCATTAGGTGATTTCACCATTGTGCTAACATCACAGAGCGTGCTTACGCTAAGTTGGCTATAATGTCACTAAGTGATATAATCTTATGGGACCACTGTCATATACGCACCCTGTTGCTGACTAAAGTGCTGTGACACACAGCTGTACTTACAAATAAGACACTTAAAGAATGGCAGTTTTCATCTCTTGCCTCTTGATTTCTTGTTGTCCAGATATTATTAAATCAACTGATAATGAAAGCATACATGGAGGCCAGGGATTTGGCTCAGTGGTTTCACTGCCTGCCTCACAAGTGCAAAGGCCCGAGTTCGATCCCCAGTACCAAAAAAAGAAAGTATACGTGAAAGTAAAGCGGTTACCTTAATGGACAAATCTTCTTTACCCAAAGTCACAAGAGTTTTAACAGCAGGGCAGCCCTCTTTTCTATCTTCATACAATTCAACTGTTGCTCTCATTGAGTTCTAAAATAATGAAACCTTTTGTTAAAGCATATTGCTGATTTATAAACCACCATTTTACTTATTTATTTGGTGCTGGGGATTGAACCCAGGGGCCTCATGCTAAGCATTCACTCTACCACCGGGCTAGTCTCCCCACCCCAATACCACAATTTAATAAAAGAAACAAGTACACGATTACTCTACCCAGAAATTCTTTACTGAGGCAAATATTAATTGGATTTACATGGCATTTTTTTCCTCTTAAGAGCTTGAATAAACATATGCTCAGATCAAGAAAAACTTCCCTGACACATTTGTTTTTGCATCTAGTTTTAGCCCAATCTAACATGCTAAATATTTTTTTTCTTTCCTTCCTTCCTTTTTTGCGGGGGTGCTTTAGGGTATTTAAATTATTCAACTCAACCCAGAAGGATGTTTTTATCACATGTAATGAAGCTGCAGAGGCTGATTTGTGCACTTTAAATCCTATTTATCAGTCTGCATTTATAGAGCACCTTTCTTCTAAAGAAGGCAGAAAAAACTGAAAAGATTCATGCTTCCCACAAAATTAATCATTTGGTTGAAAAAAGTAGAAAAAATATCAGTTAAAAAGAAATTCTGAAAGAGCCACAGCTGTTAAAGGAAAGTTCACAATTGAATGCCCATCTCCACCTTAAAGCGTTACATCAGTAACATTCTAATTTCTGGAAGCAAATCAGCATAACTGATTTTTCAGGTGTTCAATTTAGTGTCTTACACATTGGAAGAGATGGAACTTTAGCTTGAATGTCTTGTGTCTATACTACAGCTTAGTTAATGGGTAACAAAAACAATGATTTAGGCCATAGGAAGGCATGTCCAACTCATGGCCCATGGACCACAGGTGGCCATGGACAGTTAGCAGTGGGGCTCCCCAAGATTGCAAACTTTTTATATTAGTATGTTATTTTTAGTGGTATTTTTTTATGACTCCACACTGCACAGTGCTCAAGCTTGGACTATGTAGGCAACAATGGACCCAGACGTTGATGCACCAGTTTCACAGAACAAGTTTCATGCTTATATTGTTCTAGTTTAAAAATCTTACAATTGCCGGGCGTGGTGGCTCACGCCTGTAATCCCAGCACTTGGGAGGCTGAGGCAGGAGGATCACTATGAGTTCGAGAACAGCCTGGACTACATAGTGAGTTCCAGGTCAGTCTCAACTACATAGTGAGACCCTGTCTCAAAAAACTAAAAAAAAAAAAAAAAAAAGTTACAATAAAAAGTATTCAAAAACAAAGAAGTTTTGTTACTTATATGCAGTAACCACGTAATATATTTTATATGTGTCCCAAGACAATTCCTCTTCATTCATTATGGCCTAGGTAGGCCAGAAAGGTTGTACACCCATCTTTTATTTTTTATCCTTTTTGGTCCAGCTCATCCATGTCTTTCTCTCCACGTGTTAGATCTTCTGAATTAATTCAAATACATAAAGGGCTAACAAGATCTCTCAGGACTGGAACAACTATTAATGCACCAACACAGTTAATACTCAGAAACATAGATATGCATAAACATGTTTCTTATTTTGGTCTGGCTACTATGAATAAAAAGCCTTTGTGAGGTCTGAAAATTAAAGGGCATCTCTAATCTCATAACCTAAGTATGGATCTTATGTAAAGTCACTAAAGTACAATTAAGTTTCAAAATCAATATGTACTAATATTCACAAAAACTATACTGTACACAGCAATTTTTCATCTCAAAGTGTACAAATTATAAAACCCACAGGATATCAGAAATAGAACTTTTAAAATGGTTAGGCAAAACCTTTTTCTTATGCTAATCTAATGAATCCATTATGCCCTGAATCAAAGTAATTTAAAATGAAGACTTCTTTCCATGTTTTTAAATTCCACTTACCTTGAACAACTCAAATAGCATGTGAAACAGATGTGAGGGCACATAAACTACCTGAATAGGTTTGTCTGGTGCTTTGGCTGAAAACAGAGACAAAACTGTCAATGAATAAGGACCAAGACGACAGGAGAGTCAAGAATGATGCTTGCATTCTATTTTTGAAGTACATAAACCAGAGTGCTATAAAAAGCTAATTTAGGTTCCCACCTCTAAAGGCAGGGATGAGCAAAACACATCCTTCGGAATCAAAACAAATCTGGGGTGAAACCTAGTTCCTTCATTTATGAGCTATGTGACCTTGGACAAATCTCTCAAGCTCAATGAAACTTAGTTAAGCAAAACTGTAATACACCTATGCCACAATGTCCTGAGCATTTCATAAGAACAATAAAGTATCACTTGGCTGGTTCCAAATTTGTGAGACATCCCCACTACTGACACCAGTGGTCAGCTGAGGAAATATGAAGCCACTGGAGCAAAAGGGCTGGTGAACTGGACTATACACAGCACTGTTAAATTTGGTTTACATGTGGTAAAACAGAATGTAAGGTTCACCCAACTTTTTCTACTAGCAGCCAGCAGAGAAGCTCCTGGAGATCTACAGTCTTTTCTCCTTGCCTCAGGGATCTTCTGATGAAAATTTGAGAAACACTGAATCCCATGACAAACACTGAGAACAGCACGGAGTAGAGAGGAGATGCTGAGAAATGTAGTCCTTCCCCTTCATGACCCAAAATCACTTGAGAGACTGAAGCTACATAAACTTTCTCAAGTAGAACACATACATACTCACTCATGCTCTACTTTTGACCTACTTCCTCTAGTAAATGATTCAAATTAATATAAATTAGAGTTACTAATTATCTGGTTCTTAGCAGTTTACAAAGAGCTTTCACACACATTATCTGATTGAATTCTCACTATAATACCTCATGGCTCATATGGTAGATGGCATTATTTACAGGTGAACAAACAGGCTTTGGAAAGAGAGACCTACCCGTGGTAATGGAAGTGGCACTGAAACTAGATACTTGGCACAAGAGCTGGTTTGGGGAGGATCAAACCCAGGGCCCTGCTGTCCCACTGACCTATATCCCCAGCCCCCAAGAGCTCTTGATTCTAAATCCTGGATCTTTTGATGATCGGCTGTTTTTTAAATTATTTAGTAATACTCCTCTATCCATCCCCAGACGCAGCCACTTTACTACTTCTGCTGTACTCCTCTGGCTGATATTTACATTCTATTCTGTAACTCTAATTAACTATTCTATGTCATTTACACATCCTTTGAAGAAAAGTTGAAAACCAGTAGTGTCGGTAACATTGTAAGTGTTAATCACTGCAGAGCAACCTAGAAGGATTCCCTTTCTGAATCTTAGTGATACCACTTGGAGAAAAATGTTTGTAAGCCTTTATGGTGAAATGGATTCTCTTTAGATTCCTCCTAACTGCTCGACATTATGCTATCTTTTTAGGTTGCTTTATATTCAGTTTGTGTCACCCTTGCAAAACTGTATATTTTTCCTGGATTTCTAACTATCTCTTCTCTTGGGCACCTGGCCAAGAAACATGGTTTCCTTATGCATCACCAAGATCTTCCATTCTTTGTGATTTATTCTTAATACTAGAGCCAGCACATGGCATGCTAGGCAAGTGATACACCACAAAGTTACATTTCACTATATCCCAGCCCTTTAAAAGATTTAAAAAATTTTTTGAGACAGGGTCTCACTATGTTGCCCAGGCTTGGCTCAAACTTGAAATCTCCCTGCCTCGGCCTCTGGAGAGGCTGAGATTACAGGTGTGTGTCGCTGTGCCCAATCATTCTCCAAGATTTTTCAAATTATAATCGACTGCTTTTCAAACATGCTGCACAGGTATCACAGAATTGTTCTCATTGAAATTCTAGAATGTTTCTCCCTATTTCTTATATCCATGCTATACATCCTGAATCAGTCAGGCAACCCACCTCAGAAAGGTGTATATGAGAGATACCTCACTCCTTATACCTATGATTCACTGATCGAAGGTTTGGTTAGGTAGAGAATTCTGCATTTCAATCACCCTCTCTCAGAATTTGGTAAGAGAGGTCTTCTGGCAATAAGAGCACAGCTGCTAAGTTTAATGTCACTTACGTTTCATTCATGCTACTGGCATTTGCCAAGGTCTGATATACCATAGTTACAATGTTCTTATTTAAGAGTGAAGGACTGGATTCATCATTCAAGGTAGCTGCTGCTCTTTTTTCCCAGGCTCTCTGCTAGGCAGGAAGGCTTTAGAGCTCTGTGTACCTGATCAAGACTTCCCAACTGGCTTTAAGATAAGCACATAGAAAGCTGGCCTCTGACAGAGAGGCCCCCAAATCCTCAATGAAGTAGGCTTTACTTTGGTGACACCACTCACATGAATAGCCCCATTTCTTTCTAGGCTGTTCTTAGACAGAATACTCTTATTTGACTCTGGCCAGAGTCAGACTACTCAACATCCCTCCATACTCTTCCTTAGACCAGGTTTCAGCTAATTCCTACCCACTGGCTTTTACTGCCTATTCCAGGCCTTTTCACCACCTAGCTCTGCTCCAGGGTCTCTCCAGAATAATCTTTGGCAAACTGGTTGCCAACTGCAACAGCCTCCTCCTTTGTGGTTTCTTTTGCTCTATCTCATCACTCAGCATACTTCAATCTGGTTACCCTCTTTCAGGAGTTGGGATGAGTGCTTGTGTCTTCTCAAATTCATATGCTGCAATCTAATCCCCAAAGTGACAGTATGAAGGGTAGGGTCTTTGGGTAGTGGTTAGGTCATAAGGGTAGAGACCTCATGAATGAGGTTAGTATCCTTATAAAGAGACTCCAGAGAGCTCCTTGTCCCCTTCTTCCATGTAAGGACACAGCAAGAAATCATCTATAGGGCCAGGGATTTAGATCAGTGGTTCCGCTGTCTGCTTCACAAGCACAAGGACCAGAGTTCGATCCCTGGTACCAAAAAAAAAAAAAAAAAAAAAAAGAAAAAAAAAAGAAAAAGAAAAGGAAAAAAGAAGTCATCTATCAACCAGGAAATGGGCCCTCACCAAATGCCAAATCTGCTGACACCATGATCTGATCTCGTATCTCCTAGACTCCAGACCCATGAGAAATACATGTCTTTTGTTTAGTCCACCCAGTCTTAGGTATTTTTATTATAGAAGCCTGATGGGATCATGACAGTGGTCCACTGATAGCCCCCTGGTTTTCTTTGCTATTTTTCCTTGCATTTCTTTATTGTCATTTTAATGGAGCCAAGGAGCAAGCTAAGCACTTAGTTTATCTTGTACCAGGAGGCATGATTATTTCTATAATCACCCTCTGAATTCCACCCTTTAACTCCAAATCTTAGGGAAATGAAAATACCTTTTATAGTGTACTTTTTTTTAAAATTCAAATAACATTCTCTAGGAGCCATATAAAGGCTTGCTCAATTACTAGCACTTTCATTTGGGAATATTATAGTTTAGATTTCTTTCCTTCCTTTTAAAATTATGTCAAATGTTTTTGTCCATGATGCTTCCCTTGTCCTGGGTCTACTGGCTGTTAAGTAGTGGATGCTTAATAAATGTTTGTTGACTTTCTAAAATAACACACAAGTGAAATGTAAGTTTTCTATTTAAGGGTTCATTTAAAAAGTCAATGTAAAAATGGTCCAGGTTTTTTATGCTCAAGACTCAAGAAATAATAAAGCCTCTACATTGTACAGTCACTGCTCTGTACTATTAGTTGAAGCAGCATTTAATAAATATCAATAGGACTCTACATAGGCATAAAGAATTTTATTTTCAGGAAATTTTCCTATAAGGATGAAAAACAAAAGAACTAGAGGCTAAGCAAAAAAAAAATGCATTCTAAAGAAAACATAGCAGTGCACTTAAAGGTGGCTCATTCATTTCCAAAAATAAGTGAATAAAAATATTAAAAACATCATATGGTATGGCTCAAAGTCATACTGGGATCAAGTTCTGACACTGCCATTTGATAGCTACATTAATAAGTATTTATCTTATCTGGACCTCAGTGCTCTATCTCTAAAATGGGTCTAGTGCATATTTCACTGGGTGAATCCAAGGGTTAGATGAAATAAACTGGTACACAGAAAGCCTTCCAGTAAGTAGTCAGTACATATAGGCCACTACCATTACTAAATATAAATGTCTCAGTGTTAACAGAGTTACCAGTAATGGCTTGTCAATTGTTGTATGGAACCACTTGATTGAAATTATCCAATATGGGGAACCTAGAGGTCAAAGATCCAGAATAGACTCATTATTTTTCTATGAACTCTTGTAAAAAATTATCATGGTATGAATTGAAATTTTTATGCTTCCTACCAAACTCAAAGATATGAATTGCCTTCTTGATAGGAATGACTAATGTGGAAATAATGAAGAAAATATAAACAAGGGCTTAAATATATCTTTCCCAAGTCAAACATTACTTCCAATAGCTACCTTTAAATATGCTGTATGTGCTCAGTGCCATATATAAAGGCACAATTTTAAGGTACTGGAGACATTCTCCTTTTACCAGAGAGGCAAGCTTACAGATGAGGAGCCTGAGTGTTAGAGGCCAAGTAATCTGTCTAGGGCCCATGTTGTGTGTCAGAATCAGGATGCCCATTGAGAGGCGAGGTACACAGTTCATATCTTTCCCCTGAGCCACACTGCCTGATCCCATGGATGGAAAAAAGGTAAGATATAAATGTTTATTTGCTTAATGTTTTGGTAACTGAATGAGAATTACAAGAGAATGAGAACCAGTATGATGAGATTGCTTCTGGACTTTGGAGAAAATGGTCATGGGCTTCCACAGGTGGACAGTCAGAATATGTGAAACTAGGCTCCAGATATAGCTCAGTAATAATAGAGTACAAGCTTAGCAGGGCTCAACTCCCAGCATGAAACAAAGAAAGAAGTTAGGAAGGAAGGAAGGAAGGAAGGAAGGAAGGAAGGAAGGAAGGAAGGAAGGAAGGAAGGAAGGAAAGAAAAAAAGAAAGAAAAAGAGGAAAGATGACTAGATTTGAAACTTGATCTAAGATCAACAAAATTGTTATTTCTAATGTTCCTAATAAATATGTTACAGAAAGGACAATGAAAGAAATTTACCCTTGATCACCCCTAATACTTGATGACTGGTAGACATAGATGGTGTTGCCACTGTGTGTTCTACATAATCCTAGTCACTGCTTTTGTAGACATCCATACTGGAAAAGGAAAAAACCCTTCTAAAAATTGAGAAACAATAGATAATTCAGAAAATTAGCAGAATTTCAATTCTCAGGGAGCAATAAATTGCTCTTTGGGTAAATGGCAGCCTCATACCCTCTGGGCTGAGCATCAAGCACTACGCTCTATGGTTAAAAGGCATCCACTGCATGATGGAAACATCCTGAAAGTGGGTGTTGTGTAGTTTAGATGAGCTGTGACAGTGAATCCTTATGAACTTGGTTCTAATTCCTCCCTAGAAAACGGAATCAGCTGTCATACTGTGGGAAGTACACATGCTCTCTCATTATGGAGCAAAAACATCTACTTAAGGTGTTTTAACACCAAATCCAAGCTACATCTCTAAAAGAACTTATTAGAGCTAAAGTGAATTCCTTAATCATGCTTGGAAAGAGCTTTGACATTCAAGAAGTCAAAAGATATAAATCATCAGTACATTACTTGATGCCACAGAAAATCAGAGGTTACCTATAATCACAAGCACTTATTCCTCTCAGTGATGGGGAAGGGTGTTTTAAAATGTGATATAAAAGGGGTTTCCATCTTTTATGAGCTAGGGCCAAAGATAGTTATGAAGCTTTTGTCATGGTGGCTGCACTGCCCAGCATCACAGAATGCCTCTGGGTCAGTAAGAACAGGAGCACTGCTCCAGCCTGCAGGAAAAGTAAGGCTGCAATGCACACAAAGGAGCTACTTGCAACATAACTACCTGAAATTTTAAGTTTCCTTGTTTGAAAAAATATGAATCTGGACAGTTGGGTAAGGTCCCACCTAGCCAGTAGGAGGAAATACAAAGAATATTAAAATGCATCTAACTAGAAATACCCAAGCCGAGTCCACCTAGTTCTAGTCTAGTTGTGTATTAATTCAAGACAGAGGCACAATCCTTCGCAGAGAACCCAAGGGACTCTGAAAGCAGCTCTGATGTCATATATTTTAATAGAAAACAGGGGCAACTGTCCTTCAATGGCTGTGTGAAGTCTCTTCCAATAATTTAATCTCACTGTAATACAAATACATATATGGTATATTTTTGAGAGCGAACTGAATTTGGTTTATTTTTAATAATAAATACTCACACCCTAAGAATTTTTCTGCTTGCTTTTATTTCATACTGTAAGAATCAGTCATTCCATGTGTAGGAATCTAACCTACAGAAATATTTCCATGTTCACAAATTTTCCCTGCCTCCAACCCCCCTACCCATTCATTATATAGAATATAGTAAAATGAGAAATCCTAAGCATTCACCCAAAAGGAAATAGTTAAAAAATAAGATATAAATATAAACTCATATTCTATAAATACAGAATTATATTAAATCAGCTATAAGAGGGCTGTTGTTTTATTCTGGTAGAGTAAATATTTTCAAATGTTTTCAAATGAGTTTGCATTATTACTAACTTTTATAGCCCATATTTTTAAAAAGCCTAATTTTCCCATGTTATTCCTTTAAAGCATTACTTTGAATGGCTGTACCATATTCTACCTTATTGGTGTATTGCCATTTATTTAAATAATCCTGTAATGTGGAAAATGGGTTGTTTTTTTTAACTTGTCTCTTTAAGAAAATGCTGTTGCTTTGGTGCTGCCAACTTTGGAAAAAGTCATCCCAATTTACTGTGTTGAGTTGGCATTGGACAGAAATGGACAGCCATATTGGTCTAGAAATGTTAATTTATTTTTATTTTTATTTTTATTTTTTTTCCCTGTGTACAGGGGTAACACATCGTACTAAATATGTAAGGTCATATCTACGTGGGTTTGATTACAGAAACTAATAAAGTAATCTCTAAATAATGAAAAAAAGAATAAGATAAGACTATAAGAGCGAGAAGCAATTTAAATATGTTCAGGGACCATTTTCTCCCTATTTTTAATGTTCATAAGAGATTTCTTTAACTGAAATACCAAATAGTTTCTTTGGTGTGAAAAACTATAATAGTACACAGGATCCTAATGAGATAATTAATAATGTGAAATAGGAAGTAAAGGGCTAAAGGTGTAGGGAAAGTGGGAAGGGTGGGGGAAAGGTAATAGGGAGAGGAAAAAAGTATGAGAAACTGAAAAAATGGAAATAAAGTGTTTGTAAATGGGGAGGGGAGAGGGGGGTGAAGGGAGGGCAGGGACAAGGGGGAAAATGAGAATCAAGACCTATTATGTAAAGGTACAGAATCCCAATGATGAATGTAATTGTATTGTATACCTAGATTGTACCAATAAACTCAATAAAAAGGAAAAAAGAAAAGAAAATGCTGTTTCATATTTGTCCCCCATATCCCTGTCCTCTAAGACACATCATGTAAAGGTACAAGATCCCAATGATGAATGTAACTGTACTGTATACCTAAAAAGTACCAATAAATTCAATGAAAAAAAAGAAAGAAAACTATTGTTATTATCATTCTTGTATATAAATCTGTATACATCTCTATTTTCTTATAATACCTTTTCTGAAGTTTAATTTACTGGACCAAAGAAATATGATCACTATTAATTTAATTTACTGGGTCAAAGAGAAAAGACATTGGTAGCCTTTTTGAAAAAGGCTATGCTAATTTAAATTTATACAAGAAATGTATGTGTTGGAGACACAGTATTTTTCTGGGCACAAATTCAAAGCATTAAAATGTTATAATTGTCATTTTGAAAGACAAAAGTGGCATCTCTTAGATTGATAAAGTTAAACACTTTTCCATGTGTTGACTGCTTGCATTTGTTATTGTGAAAACTGCCTATTTATGCCTTTGCACATCTTCTTCCTTGATTACTTGTTCCAAGAACTTGGCACTCTAATATGTTACACATTCCTACACAAAAAGTCTTTGCAACAATATTCCTGACTAATCAAAGGTATAGAGAAAGGGTTTTAAAGATACAATAGATGAAAAGATCTTACTGAAACAGACCCTAGGTATAATCTGTTTTTAAAGCCAATTTCTTCATAATTAGGTTTAAAATTATTTTTCTTTTACCATTAAATTCTTCAATTTCCAGCTCTGGAGCTACCATATAATACTGTTCACACAACATCTTGGCTGTTTCGTATGCATCTGCAGAGTAAGAGAAAAGTTTAGCAGTTGTATTAAAGACATAGGCACAAATGTATGTGTGTGGGTGGGGTGTTTGTGTGCATATATACAAACATACATTTATGATAAAGACAAACTGTTTAAACTGATAGATTTAGAATTAAAACTACTACCCTTTAAAAATAGCCTTCTTGGGTTTAACAAATCAGAATGGACCAAAACAAAATTTCTCTTTCCTTTAAGTTTCAATAGTCACAACACCATCATAAATACTAAACTAATAATAATATAGCTAGCTCTATGCCAATCACATATTTAACTTTTAAACATTCCTAACAGGGATTTTTCATAAAAATCTATAAACTGAAGACTATACTTCTAAATACCATGTAATTTGACTAAATTGTGGCAAAAACATTTGTTGTAATTTAAAAATAATAATACCAACAGTCTTATGATGTGCTTCTTACTTGTAAATGAAACATCAATAAGTATTGGCTGAATGAATGAGTTTCAATGAGTTGCACAAATTAAATTACCACTATCATTTTAAAGTTTACTTTAAGTTCACTGCAGGTAACAAGTTGGGGTTGATAGTCTGAAGGGAAATAATTTGCTTTTTAAAGGAAAAAAAAGGGTAGAAAGATCAGTTATTACAGAAATAGCCAAAAGAGGGAATTCAGGATGTTCAAAAGGCAGGGAGTAAATTCAGAAAGCAAAGTGTCTCATGACATATTACCTTTTTTTGTCTTGAATTGCAAACAATCTTAAACAATCTGAGGCCAGAATTTGTGCCTTATACTTGTTGTATAAACATGTACAGAACTTAGTAAAGTGCCTGTGTAGACAGATGCTTAATATTCCTTGAATAGATAAATTTTATACCTTTTGATAACTTTCTTTTAAAAATTTCATTGAAATATAATTCAAGTTTGTAATATACAATACAACTTCATATTTAGTATATGTGCCAAGTTGAGCGTCCATCACCATGGTCAAGTTTAGAGTATTTTCATTACTACAAAAAGAAGCTCCAAAGCCGGGCGTGGTGGCGCACACCTGTAATCCCAACACTCGGGAGGCTGAGGCAGGAGGATTGCTGTGAGTTCGAGACCAGCCTGGGCTACATAGTGAGTTCCAGGTCAGTCTTGACTATCCAGTGAGACCCTGTCTCAAAAAACAAAAAAACAAACAAACAAAAAAAGAAGCTCGATACGCAGTGACAAACCCAGCCCTAAGCACCATGGAGCTACTTTGCTTCCAATAGATGTGCTATTCTAGACATTTACATACTGGTAAACAGAACTACATAATATATGGTCTTTTGTGACTGGCTTCTTTCACTTAGCATGTTTTCAAGAGTCATACTCATTGTAGGATGAATCAATACTTCACTTTTATCACTAAAAGTCCATTGTATTAATGTACTGTGTTTCTTCATCCACACATCAGTTAATAAGACATTTGGGCTGTTTCCACTTTTGGCTACTACGAACAATGCTGCTACAAACATCCATGTCAAGGTTTTTGTGTGAACATGTTTTCTTTTTGGGGATTGGGAACTGAACTCAAGATCTCGAGCTTGCAAGGCAGGCAGTGTGCTGCTGAGTTAAATCCCCAGCCCGACATGTTTTCATTTTTGGTGGGTATATACTTAGGAGCAGGAAACGGCTGGATCATATGGTAACTCTATACTTGTAAAGTTTGAGGAAATGCCAGGCTGTTTGCCAAAGCAATTTTGTTTTTGTTTTGTAGTTTTACCTTATAATTTCTAACGATCAGATAATCAAATTGCATTAAAATCCTTTACAGGTACATTTTCACCCTTGTCCACTATGTATCAGCTCTTTGGAGACAAGCCTGTGCTTCTTTTATATTCAGACATCAATATTGTGCATAGAAAAAAATACTTGAGATTGAAGAGAAAGAATAAAGGAAAGGAAGGGGAAAAATAAGCCCAACAGATTTTAAATATACTAAAATTTTACATTATTAATCTAAAATATTAGAAAGATAAGATTAGGATATGGTCACGTTTTGGTTCATTTACCTAATATTGCTATCAAATTGGAATTTTGTATATTATTTGGGTTTAGAGAAAAATTCTGATAATTTTATTAAACTTTTAGAATTAAATCACTACAAAGAACCAAAGATAGAGACAGTAGAATAACTCTGATGAGATGAAATGAGGGACAGCAAAAAGGAAATGTCAGGAAAAGAAGAAAAAAATTCAAAAAGAATCAATCAGTGTGAAAATAGACATTAAAGTTGGACTGAATTTCAACCCTGAAAAAAGAAAGTTGAAATTTCAAATCATACTAAATTTGCAGGTTTTCTTCTGGAATATAGTAAACCTCATCAAATAATCTATAAAGTACTTTTGTAAAAAGAAATCAAGACTCATTCTTCTTGCTTGACTATACCACCAAACAATGCTACATCTCCACCTAGTGACGTGATCGCACAAAGCCAACTTCCAAGACTCCTTTCACTATAAAATCGGAAACGAGACTAAATCCACGATAATTCCTCATGGTATTAACCTGAAAGCATGGGAAATGTGCTACAGAAATCTAACATGTGGAAGACAGTGGAGCCTAGACAGAAGCAGTCATGTTCAAATTCAAAGACTCAGTATGGCTTCTAAAACCACAAGTAAGAATTTTTAAAGCATCACAAAAAATTTAATGTATTAATGTCATAATTAAGAACCACATGATAAATCTTTGAAAAACTCAAGACATCACAAGGTAGACTCACACAAACCAATTAGCTCAAAGAAGTCTGGTAGGGCCGGAGATTTAGCTCAGTGGTGCCACTACCTGCCTCGCAAGCTCAAGGACCTGAGTTCGATCCCTGATACCAAAAAACAAAAGCAAAACAAACCAACAAAAGAATAAAAGAAGTCTGGTGGCATTCATGGCAAAATCTATATTGGTAAACATCTTTACAAATTCTCATAGCATGTCACAATACATATTTAGAAAGCATGTGTTAAATATAACAATCCTCTGGCCCATGATAAAGTTCTCAACATGCAGTCAATTATACTGATGGAAGTGTTTTTTGCTTTGCTTTTCTTGTGTGTGTGTGTGTGTGTGTGTGTGTGTGTGTTTTACCTTTTCTGCTATTGTTGTTAAATTGGGAACTTAGTGGCCTTAAGTGGTTCCCAAACATGATTGTGTCTAGAATTTACTACCTAGTTTAAAAAAAAGTGAAGACTATGAAATGAACCCCTGGAGACTCTCAGGCAGTTGCTCTGAGTTGAGGCCTGGGAATCTACATTTTAAAAAGTCAGGGCCGAGGATTTGGCTCCATGGTTCTGCCGCCTGCCTTGTAAGTACAAGGTCCCAAGTTCAATCCCTGGTATCAAAAACAAACAAACAAAAAGTCATCAGGTAATTCTGAGGAGAAGCTAGATTTGGGGAGTGCTTCCTAACACTGTTTCTCCTTGGACATGAACAATCATGAAGTACTGGGATGTTTGACAGTACATATTATATTCAAACAGGGCCCTTCTGTTTAAGTAGTTTAATATAAAATATATTAAAAATATATTAAATACTTTAATATAAAAATATAAAATCACCATCATAACAAACCATCAAAGTATTACCTTACAAATGTCCTTTCTATCTACAGTTGTATTTAAATTCTTTTCCTTTTTCTGTACTATTGGGTAAGGAACTCAGGGCCATTGGACTGAGTGATGTTCCCAGGACATTTTTTAATTTTTCATTTTGAGAGATGGTCTCCTTCAGTCACTTAGTTGCTAGTCTGAACTTGCAATCCTCCCACCTTAGCCTCCCAGAGTGCTGGGATTATATGTGCTTACGTTTTCTAACAAAAATTTTTATTTTCTAATAGAAATAAAATATTTAAAAGGTAATTACCAAATTATTTTCATCTGTAATATATTGGAGCCAGAATTCACCACTAATCTTTAAAAGGAAATATTAAGAAAATATTATTATTGCCATAGCACCTAAGTGATAGTCATTGTTTTAGGAATGTTTGCAAAGGTAATCAGGTGTTGATCACAGAGTAATTAACAAAACTGTGGGTGTGACACATACATGCTTCCCCAGGCTAAAATTGCCAAACTGTAGACTCAAAATAAAAAAGGCTGCACATAAAGAGTAGAATAAAGGCTGGTATGCTGCCACACACTTGTAATCATAGTACTCTGGAAAGCTGAGACAAGAACTACAAATTTCAGCCCAGCCTAGGCAACTTAGTAAGTCCCTATCTCAAAAAAATTTTAAAGGGGGCTAGGGATGTAGCTCACTGGTTCAACTCACAGTTCAAAAAAAGGGGGGTAGGGTAAAGATTCACACATTGACACCACTTGCCCAACAGATCCAACCTAACACATAGGAAAGCAATGTATTATAGAAATTAGTTGATTAGATTTTCCCACTCAAAATTCACCATAGAACTCTGCTATCAAAGAGTAGCCCCCTACCCCAAATATATTCAACCATCTGTTTACAACTATCTTATAAGAGGGTAGACTAGATTGAGTTTGAGCGAATGCTAAAAACAGTTAAAATGAAGATGCCAAGGTTCCTAACAGAATTGAGCAAGACATGAAGCTCAAGTGTAAGTAGCCACTGTCAGAACAAGGTAACTGTAAAGGGCCACAGCATTACAAAGTCACAGATATACTAGTTTTAATTTTTAGTTTTTAATATTAACAACCCCACACCATCATCATCCAGTAATAATATAAGGGTAATCAAAACAATGAGCAAATGTTTTAGACCTATATTCCCCAACAAAAGACCTAAAAAAACAATCACCTTCTCAACAATTCATCTCTTCAGCAATCATTTCTTTGGAGACACCTGGTAGTAGAGAAATGCTATCTCCTTTAGCATGGTCTGACCCAGTTGTTTGCTTCAGAATGAACCTCTTCTACATCATGTAATATGAGGTTCCTATGCTCGTCAAAACCAAATAGCCCTCCACCTGCATATGCACTTGAACACAGAGCCATATCTGAATTGGATCTATTT